CCAACCACAACACGCCTCCTCTTCTCTTATTCCTGTTGCTCTTTGCGTATGCAAATTATAATATTTTTGAATCATTGTGTATTGTGACAGGTCATTTTATTCTCTGATATTCTCACTCCTCTCTGGGATGAACATACCTTTCGACATTGTCAAAGGTAAAGGTCCGATAATCTTCGACCCTATAGCCACTGCTGCTGATGTAGATCAAGTGAGAGAATTCAGTCCTGAGGAGTCCGTTCCTTATGTTGGCGAAGCATTGACAATCTTGCATAAAGAGGTTTACATTGACATTTCTTATATTATCATCCTAATTTAAGTTTCTTATGTTTCGCCTTATTTCAGGGTTGTTTACGTTAGGAAAACATTGATGTAACTTGGTTTTTTCCACATACATTAGTTGAACATTAGAATCTTCTTAGGTAGAAAAGACAACCAATTTTAATTAATTAGAGAAGTTGGTTAACCTTAATGTTCCCAAGCAGAAAGGTTAACCGTTAGGCCTATCAGCACTAGTATTTTGCTCCGGTGATAACTAATTGAATATGAAATTGTTATCCCCTAACCCTTTCACAATCCTTTGCATCAGCCTTCTATGGTCTGAATTATGTTATTATCTGGATTTGCTATCATTTTCTACTACCATTTAATGCAAGGATGTTATATGATTTTTTAGAGCTCGGGAAACCTCGATAATACTCTTGCCTACTTAACGCTGCATATAAGTAAATTTAAAAGCATGTAGCCTCACCCCCTTTCTTCATTTTGCCAGGTAGATAACAAAGCTGCAGTTTTGGGTTTTGTTGGGGCTGCGTTCACTCTAGCATCATATGTGGTTGAAGGTGGTTCATCGAAGAACTTCACCAAAATCAAAAGTTTGGTCTTCTCTCAGCCCAAGGTAGTTCTAGTTCTCTTTTTCTAGCATCTCAGATCAACTGGGGTGAAGTTTGTCCTTTTCTTCTTTCTTTTGTGTCGAAGAGTGCTGTAAGAGTTGTCTGTCTGCATCGGAATTTAATTGCCAGCGAACAATTTTATTACCTCGGGTAAAAATGACGTATTTTTCCTCCTACAGGTACTTCATTCCTTGCTTCAGAAATTCGCAGCCTCCATGACAAAGTATATTCGGTACCAAGCCGACAATGGAGCTCAAGCTGTTCAAATATTCGACTCTTGGGCAACAGAACTAAGTCCGGTGGATTTTGAGGAGTTCAGCCTGCCATATTTGAAGGAAATTGTAGATGCTGCAAAACAAACCCATCCGATCTTCCTCTAATCCTTTATGCAAGCGGATCTAGGGGCCTGTTAGAAAGGCTAGCTTTAACTGGTGTTGATGTAGTTAGCTTAGATTGGACAGTTGACATGGCTGAAGGTAGAAGGCGACTCGGACATGATATTTCCGTCCAGGGAAATGTTGATCGCGGTGTACTTTTTGGTTCAAAGGAGTTCATCACCAGTCGGATACATGATACCGTGACAAAAGCTGGTAAAGGGAAACTCATACTGAATCTCGGTCATGGGATTAAAGTAGGTACACCCGAGGAAAATGTTGCCCATTTCTTTGAGTTTGCTAAAGCAATCAGGTACTAAAAGCAATACTGGATTTAACTGATTTCCTACCAAGTTTATCCATCTTCAGGTTATTTTTTACAGCCCTTGATTGTTCCATTTGTATTTATATTGTTAAATGAAACTGTTGACAACATCGATTCCCAACGTGTATCTATGTTACTCAAACTCGAGTGAGAGTCATGGTGCAAGCTTGCATCCAAAACAAGTATGTTTAACTTTTCCACATATACATCTAGAGGGTCTTTGAAGGATCATTTTTGCATATACATTTAAATGTGCCGGACATGAATACTTCAAGAAAAATGATGACTTGGAGTGGCATAAACTCGGTATAGATAAAATTCCAAAAGAGGCCCATTGGAGTAGCATAAACTTAGATAAATATCCCCATCATGTTAAGCTTTTTTTTTTATAAAAAGGGCATACAATCTTTGATCCATGGGATCAAATGATGAATCCAAAGCCCCTCGAGAAATATGCTGAAATGAGCTTACTAGTAGGCAGAAGAAAAGATACCAAAAAGAACTGAAGATTCCGGACTCATTCAGTTTAGCTTGTAAAAGTCATTTTGTCACGCAGAGAATCTAATATCTGGTTTAATCATTTGGGTTTAACTTAAAAAAACTATAAATTATAGGTTGCTTACCTACTGGTTTGTTTGCTAGTAATGAAGTGTCCTAATGATGAATTTTTATGCTTACAAGTCATATCATAATATGGAGTTAAAAATGATTGTTAACTTCCACTAAATACCAAGCCTGAATATATTATTTCAGACCTTCCAACGGCCAATTCCTCTCAGCAAATATGCTAATGCCACCTTGATGCATGATTGTGAGGTCTACCTGTACAAATGCTGCACATCCAGAGATTTTTTTTTAAACTCCAAATCTTGAATCAATTAAGAAAGTTCAACTTGATTGTGTTTTGAAACCCTGTTAAAGATTTGATTCCAAATTGCATCTGCATCACCTTTTTTATTTATCCCCCTCTATGATTTGACAAGGAAATTGAAAGAAGAAATGCAAACAAAAGACTCCTAGCAATCCTGATGGCTCAGTCCTTCAGAGCAATGGGGCAAACAAGGACGGGTATCATGAGAAATTTTACATATATTTTTTCACCATATTATCAATGATCTTAACTAATTAAAAAAATATACATTAATTTTTTCATGTCATTCGCATATATGAATTTTATTTCCTAAATCAGTTTCTTCGTTAATATATATCAAAATTAAACCTAAATTTAAACATTATTTTTAAGGGATTTTCATTAAATCATATAATTTTTTTTATCTCTCATCATCCAAGTTTTCTTTCTTTCTGTTTATCTAAATTCTTTTTCTTCATTCAAAGTCTCTCTTTTTGTCTCAAATCCATAAGATTTCAGAGTTTCTGAAACTAAGATTTTTATTACCAACCGGTTATAAAAATTGTGGAATAAATATTCATGAAAAATATCAAAGTTGTTTCTTCTCTATATGAGGTTTGAAGAAGTCACTAACTAAAGGACAATCAAAATTAATTTTAAAATGTTATAGTTCCGTTTCGTTTTAATTAAGATATAGTCAGGTTAGTTTGATTATACGTTTATAAAATTAAAATAAAAATGACAAATTCTACGGTTTACTCATTTTTTTAATTAGTTGAAACTATTAATGTAGTGAAAAAGATTCATGAAATCATTTCTCCTAATCACACAAAAATATAGCCTAAATTATCAACCCTGTATTGATGACACACCAATAATAAAAGTACAATCAAGACTAACTGGTTTCATTTTGTCTACCAGTTCGTATTTCATGATGTCATCTGAGAACTAGTGGTCTGCAATGGCAAACCAATATTGGATCCTCAAGATCATGAGTCCACTTTGTAGAACCAATACCGCTACGGAACTACTCAACAACAGTTCCAATTTTCATTCATTCATGAATGGCTGAATCTTGTTTAAAACAAGAAAAAGAAAGTTTGGTTTTAGAAAAGTAAAACCTGCCATTTCAGAAAAGAAAAAAGAAAGAAAGAAAAGGTGAAGCTTCGTTCTCATTCTTAAAAGAGAACAAAAAAATATGGGGTCAAGTTGTTTCTTTCCCTTTTATATTAAGCATGATTTTGTTTGAATTTTGAAGCAAAAACAAAGAACATTTGAAGTATATTCCGACAGTGAATTCCCAAAGTAGCCTATGATATTTTTTTTCACCATTCACTACTGCAAACTTGTCAGTTTTGACTGCAGTGGAAAAGTCAGGCTTTTCTCCTAACCCACACCTTGCATAGGGAGGCCTTCCTTTATATAGTTCAAAACCATGAATCCCCTACATCTCATTACATTCGTTGTATTTGCAACATTTGTGTCTTTCATCTCTATACCCACCCTTCCACCACCACCCGCCGCCGGCACCTCCTCATCTAAAGGCCATCTTCCTCTCGAAGCTCAGTTTATCTCAAAAGTAAGTTTTAAGTTCTTTCTTTCTAAATTCATTGCTATCTTCACTTCACTTTTATGGTAGAGTTTTCTTTTTTGAATCAAGTTCATTCAGTGAAGCTGGTGGATTTTAAATGTTTCTCTGTTTTTTTTAAAAAAAATCTAAGCTAACTTGAATCCAATGTTCGCCTTTAAACGTGATCAAGAAACAGATATTTTTGCTTTGCCTTTGTTCATACTTGTTATTTCTTCATTTGAATATCTTCATTCCTTTGATTATGTTGATGAAATATCATGTTGGCTTTAAGAGTTTGGTTCCACACCTTTCGGCTATTTTTCCAGTTTCCACAGGAGAGATCTTAGCTTCATAAGTATGATTTTCTGAAACTAAGATAAATCGTAAAAGACCAGCTGCTAAGTTTCTTTTAGTACAGCAGCCTTATTCTACCATATGATCCATGATTTCAGCAGTTTACGTGGCCCATATAGTTCTGCTATGAATTCTAATGGCTATGGCTGTTATTTAGCGATTCGGTTCTCTCCAATATCGATATTCACCGTAATTGATCATGACAACATTGATTATGTTTGCAACCTCGATAAATGTATCGAGAAAATAGCTACTCTAATTAAGTCATTTAACATGTTATTGTGTTCATCACCGTAAACTCTAGGCCTACAAGTAAATGCAATCCTACTCGGGACTCAAAGCTGGACATCTATAACTGAAGTGTGAAATTTTAATCGAACATATTGTGTTGATGGCTGATATGGTATTACTGTTTACCAAAAGATAGTTGAGAAATTTGATGCATCATTCATTTTTTTTTATCTTTGATTTGTTCTAATATTTATAGTGATTTTTCTCTTCAGTTATCTACTTGACGCATGAATTCAGTATGTAATGCTTTCTGGCTGATTGAATAGTTGTGGGCCTGACTCTTTATTGTGTCTTCCAGAGACCATCCAGACAGAACCAGGGAATGCAGAAAAATGTGCTTGCATCCGGTTCTGAATTATCTGTATTCATTCTCGATGACGTTGGATGCTCAACATACAGCAGGTTCATTCCCTGTGTCCCAATGCTTAATAGAGTTGAAACTGGAATCTCTGTCATGTTAAACGGATGACCTTGTTGAAGACGATCGAGTTCCTCAGTAGCTACTCCTGCACTTCAGACGATAATATATATATATACATAATTACTGCAGGAGATAAAGCTTAATTGGAGTGTGTTAAGATTTGAACTTTAGAATGGACAATAGAGGGAAGGTTTTGATGAAAAAGTACGAGGTCGGAAGATTTTTAGGACAAGGAAACTTTGCCAAAGTTTACCATGCAAGGAACATCGAAACCAGCAAGAGTGTGGCAGTTAAGGTCATTGACAAGGAGAAGGTTTTGAAAGCAGGGATGATCGATCAAACAAAGAGGGAGATATCGGGCATGTGCCTGGTTAAACACGCCAATATCTTGGAGCTTTATGAGATGATGGCTAGCAAGACCAAGATTTACTTTGTTATGGAATATGCCAAAGGTGGTGAGCTCTTCAACAAGTTATCAAAAGGGAAGTTGAGAGAAGACTTGGCAAGGAAGTATTTCCAACAACTCATCAGTGCTGTTGATTTTTGCCACAGCCGAGGTGTTTATCATCGGGATTTGAAGCTCGAAAACATACTCCTTGATGAAAATGGGATTCTTAAAGTATCGGATTTCGGTTTGAGTGCCCTTGCCGAGTGTAAGCATAAAGATGGGTTACTCCACACAGCTTGTGGAACCCCTGCCTATGTAGCTCCTGAGGTTTTAAACGGCAAGGGTTACGATGGAGCCAAAGCTGATATCTGGTCATGTGGGGTGATCCTCTATGTTATGCTGGCTGGATATCTTCCATTTCATGATACCAGTCTAATATCAATCTACAGGAAAATATGCAAGGCGGACTACAAATTTCCTAACTGGTTTTCACCTGAAGTCACCAAACTGCTGTCAAGAATCCTCACCCCGAATCCTAAATCTAGGATTTCAATCGCAAAAATAATGACAAATCCGTGGTTCAGAAAGGGATTTATTAACTCGAAACCAGTTGATATTGATGCAGTTTTTAGTTGTGAGACTAACTACAACGCATTTGAAGTCACTAATTTGAATGCCTTTGACATTATTTCTCTATCAAGCGGGCTAGATTTGTCCGGACTATTTGTAGAAAATGAAGAAAAGAAGGAAGTTCAATTTACTTCAACGCATCCGTTCTCTGCCATAACATCTAAACTAGAGGACATTGCTCAGAACTTGAAGTTGAGAGTTGAGAAGCATGATGGGGTGATGAAAATGGAAGGACCGGGTGAAGGTCGAAGAGGAACATTGGCTATCGAGGCAGAGATATTCGAGTTTACACCGTCTTTCCACTTGGTAGAGCTGAGGAAATCCAGTGGTGACACATTGGAGTTTCAAAAGAGATTAAAACAGGATGTTAGACCAGCTCTGAAGGACATTGTCTGGGCTTGGCAAGGTCAGGCGTCCTAACCGTATTCAAGTTTATTTGCAGAATTTAATGTTCATCTTTGTCCAATCATTGTTTGGCAATTCAAAGTTGGGTGTGTTTACTTCCCTTTTTGTTAATGATGTTTTTTCTTTTAAAATTATTTTCTCATCAATGGACTTGAGTTTAAGTTATTATGATATAAGACTAAACACCAAGAGCCAAGGGAGCTATCTTGAACAACCTCATCTTCTCATCGACCACCATGTCCATCTTCACTACATCATCAGTTCAATTGATTGCCTCTTCTGGTGCTATCAAACGTCCACCTTCCCTGTTTTCCAGAATTGTTGGAGAATCCATATCAAGTTATTTACAAAAAGAGTAACAATGAACCAACCAATAAGAAAGTCATTAATTCAGAGAATAAAAATATTTTAGAGATGAAAGGTCAGGAATAGCTGAATTCGTGATTTTTCTTTAATATAAAACCTATCAAGGACCTTAGCTCAACAGTTTTATTGTTTATTTTTTATAAATAATATTTTATTTTAAGAATAAATTATAAATAAAATTTATAGAAATAATATTTTAATTTTTAAGAACAAGTTATAGATAATATTTTTATAAATAATACATATATATAAAAGTTTTGTTAATATTAAAACAATGGTGGTTGAATGCTACTTTGATTATATATATGTGTGTGTTGTTAAAATTAAAAATAATATTATACGTATTGTTTGAGCTTTTTTGCGACGAGTTTTTTCACTTTTTCTCTTATGATTCTTATACGATGTTAAGTAGTTAATTTTTTTATCTTAATGATTATAAGAAGATATTTTAATTATGTATTTAATTTTCGAATTTAGTTTATAAATTTTTATCATTATTTTGAATATTTTATAATAAAATTAACTGTTTTTATTTGTGAAAAAAATAATATCCTAATGAAACATATTTAAGTTGTCTGATGAGATACAAATCAAGGGACCTTAATGGTAAATGGGTTGTTGTTATTCTTTAAGATCGATTCGAGCATCGGGAATATCAATAGTGTAAACGTTTAATGTTAAACGGTTGTAAATTATCTTTATACTTACTCCGTATTAAAAAGAAAGTATTTCCTACTTTGATCGCAGGCAAATTCATATTGTTTCCTGTGACGGCAAATCCGGGTGTCTAGATCGTGATTACTGGTTCTTTCACTGCAAAGAATAAACGTAGGCATGTAAATGAACTGAACGTTCAGTGAACCGTTCATGAACCGTGCAGCGGGAAGTTTGTTTATGTTCGTTTATTTATTAAATGAACAAACATGAATAAGATTTTGTGTTCGTTTAATTAAATGAACGAACACGAATAAAGGGCTTGTTCGTTCATTTACGTTCGTGAACGTTCGATTATATGTTTGTTTATGTTTGTTCATTTATGTTCGAACAGAGGGCAAGTTGAATATGTTACAAAAATTATTGAAGTTGTTTGGATTTCAAGAAGATTGTTTTGTTGAACAAATTAACTTTAAGACTTTATTATGTTCATATAACTTATTTATGATTTATGTATGTTTTTTTTCATATTCGAACAAATTAACTCTAAAGTTGCAGGTTATATTAATGAATTTTAAGATGTTATTCTTGTTGTTTACTTTTTTTACATTCATTTGTTGTGTTCGATTAAGTTTTTTTTTTGTGTTTGTGTTGTTCGTTTATTGTGTTCCTTTATGTTCGTTTATGTTCATTTATTATGTTCGTTTGTGTTCGTTCGTTTGTGTTCGTTTACGTTCGTTTATGTTCATTTAAATGAACGAACATGAACAAGCTATATTCCTTAATGAACGAACATGAACAAAAAAAATTTGTTCGTTTATTTATTAAATGAACGAACATGAACATACCTGCGTTCGGTTCGTTTACAGGCCTAAATAAACGGATAATCAATTTAAATCAATCCTTCGTCTTGATCCATGAAAACAATTCATAATTATTCTATCTCTAATGATATTTTCAATCATTTTATGAGAAATAATACCTCTCATGTTTCAATTTTGAGATCTTTGCCTTAAGAAGAGTTACTAAAACATGCACAATTTCTCTCCTTTTAAATAATTTTAGTAATTATTTAATATATGAATATAAAATAATATTAATGATACTTAATATCTCAATTTTCAAATATTTATAATATTTAATATTATATATAAAATTATCTATAATATGAATCTAGGTATTTATAAGATTAACATGGTTATGATATTGATGTGTCAATAATACAATGATCATTAAAATCTATAAATAGGGTGAGTTATTATTGTTGTAAGTGTACGAAGAGAGCAAAGAGTGAATAAGAGTGAATTATATGAGAAGGAAAGTTTAGAGATAAAAACGAGAAAGAATAGAGAGATTAGGATGTGAAATCATGTAGTCATTCAAGTTTTAGGTCAGATCATATCAGGTTAAGTCAAATCATATATGTGTTATGTCAAGTTAATTTAATGGTTCGACTCGAATCAAGTCAAGTTCAGGTCAATTCAGTTCGGATCATTTTCAGGTTGATTTGAAATCAGATTTAATTTGAGTTTAGGTTAATTTCAATTCATATTAATATCAATTTAGGTCAAAACGGTTTTGGTCAAAATCAATTAAATATCAAGTTAATTTATGTGATTGAACTTCATGTAATTGGGCTTCATGTTGGCTCTCGTTCAGATCATGTCACATCATTGACAGATAAAGTTCAGGTTAGATCTTATCGGGTTGATGGATTTTAAGTCATGTATTTTTTGGTGAATTATTTTCTACCTTTAATGAACGTTGAATTGTAATTATATAAAATTTGGAGTAAATTTCTAAATAGAAATAATTATGGGTCAATTTTGATAAAATATAGTTTTAAGGCCTAACTTGAACAAACATGAAATTATAAACTGAAATTTAAATAAATTAAACAACATATAAGGATCAAATCGAAACAATTATGAAATGTGAAGATGAAATTAATATAAAATAGACTAAATTAAACAACACGCAAGGATCAAATCAGACAACAACAACAACAACAATAATACATTATATATTATGTGTAATGCCCCAAAACCTGTGTAATATCCCAAAATTGGGGTTAGTGACTTAAATAGAATTTTTAGAAACTTTGTGCTCAATTTTAAAATAAGTTAAAAGTTCAAGGACTTAAATAGAAAAATTTCAGTGTTATATTAAATGGTATTTGTGGAAATTTTGAAGGGTATAATTGTAATTTCATAAGAAAGATTTTTATTTCTCCTTTATATAGGAGATGGCATGTGGAAATGGAGGAAAGAAAATAAAAAAGTCTGGAGACGTTGGTTCAACCTTCTTCTTCTCTTCTCTTCTCGTAAGCTCAATGGCAAATGTACGTTGGTTCCAAGTTGATTAATTCTTTTTTTTAAAGTTGGTTTTGATTCTTAGAGTGATGGAAAAGATTAAGGAAAGCTTAAGATGGATTAAAAACTCAAAGATTATCAAGTTATGGGAGATTGAAAATAAGAGGTTTCAAATTGAAATCTTGGAAAAAAGTTAGTAATTGAAGTTGGAGGTTAAATTTGACTTGTCAAAGGGTTAGTTAAGAAGTTAGAGGTGATATAATTGAATTAAGAACACATGGAAAATTTGATGAAATTCTTTGATTCAAGAATTATGGTGAATTATGAGGGATAGTGAAGTGTTATAATGTTATAAGAAGGTTTATATATGTATAGATAAGTTTTATGGTATAAGAAGGGGTTAATAAGTAGAATTTGAGGACAAAGTAAGAATTTTCGGGCTCAAAATGGAATTTCTGGGTTGTGTACATCGATGCACCTTCAATGTGCATCTATGCATTCTCAAATAAATGAACATCGAATGCAATTAGTGCATCGATGCACCCCCTTAAAATGAAAACATCAAAGGTGATTTGTGTATCGATGCATGGGTAGTGCATCGATGCACATGTTAAAGAGTGCATCGATACACTGTCGAATGTATCGATGCACTTCAAGGGGAAAATAGAATTATACCTTTCTTTTGGTCTAAGAAATGATATATAAGAATACATCAATTGGATACTGATATGTATCAATGTATGATTATATAGATATCGAGCAAGAACAAGTTCCGGAACGATTATCAAGTTAAGATTCGATCGAAAGACAGGAAAATCATAAAAGTAGATTAGAACGTAGTGAGGCCAAGGTGAGTGCATACTAGTTAGTTTATGGTGCTAAATGGAAACATGTTTTTGTATATAATGATATAAGAAATATGTGCTATGTGCTGTATATATATGAACATATGTGAAACCGAACTATGTGATTGCATGAGAAAGATATGAGCCATATTGTAACATCCACAATACCGGGTTAGTTACTAAATTGTAAAGTTTTAGAATGTGGTGACTAAAGTAAAAGAATGAAATAGTTCAATGATTATTGGAAATATATGATGAAAGTTATTTAGTAATTATTAAAGGAAATAAAGGGTAAAAGGGTCATTTGACCAGAAAGATTTTTATCTTTCTTTTAAAGTTATAAAACACGTGGAAAGGGTGAGAAGAAAAGAAAAGCCTGGAGCTTGGGTTATCTCCTTCCTCTTCTCTTCCCGTAAGCTCCATGGAAAAGGTAAGTTTAATTTCAGTTGGTTAATTCTTGAGTTTTAAGTTTAGTTTTGATTCTTGGGATGCTAAGAAAGATTATTTAGAGATTAAAGTAGGTTGAAACTTCAAAATGGATGAGTTATGAAGGATTAAATATGAAGAGTTTTTAAGTGAATTAGTGAAATAGAAGGAGTTAATAGATTTTGAAGTTGAATTTGACTTGTCAAGGGTTAAATTAAGAGATATGAAGTGATAAAATGAGTTTTAAAACATGTTGAAAATATGGTATGATTCTGGAAGTTAATAAAGAGGAAAGAATATTAAGGTTCAAGAAGAGGTGAATGAACATAAATGAGTTTAAACATGTGTATATGAGTTGAGATCATGAAAGGGGATGAAAGATGAAGCATTTGAGTTGAATTGATTAGATTTTCGGGCTTAAAAATGAATTCTGGGCTAAGTGCATCAATGCACATTCAATGTGCACCGATGCATCAAGA